AAGATAAATATATTTATCTTAAATTTTAATTTTTAATATATAATACATATAAAGTTTTTATGTTTTAAATAGTGGCCGGATAATTTTGATCGCCCTCTGTATATAGTTATGGTGTATTAATGTGGGTAATTTCTAGTGGATACCCTCCATTTAGAAATTATAATGACGACTTTCTAATTGTTAATGCTATCATTAATAAAACTCGTGAGAATACTATACCGAATACTCCTGAGAATTATGAAAAACTTTATATAAGATGTTGGGATCATGAACCAGAGAATAGACCAACTATTAACGAAGTGTTAAAGGAATTAGAGAAGATGGGCTTTGAAGAAAGTATTGATGAATTAGCTGAAAGTATGTATTTAAGTATTTAATCAATAACTTTTTTTTATGTATCATATATTGATTTAAATTTTAACTTATAGGGAATGTAAAAGAAGCCGTAGATAATAAATTTGATTCTGGATTGCTAATTGACAATACTTCAGATAGTATGATGATAAACGGGTATGTTTATCTATTTAACGTTAAGTTTTAATTTATAAATTAATGTATATTAATATTTACATTTTCTTTTAGAAATTAAAAGTGTTCTACTTTTTAGTTTTTTAGATTTAAGTACTTTATAATGTAGCAATTACTGCAGATAAGCAGTAAAAATTTTATAATTAAAATATGAAAATCTAATTTATTCTTATTTATTTCTGTAAGCTTTTATACGTAAATTTAATTATATAATTCGTTCATTTAAATTTACCTCTTAAGTTATAGCATTTAAGTAAGAATCAGATTTGCTACAACAAAAATTCCTTTTCATAGCCTGGTATATTATTATTTGATGATAATAAATCGTTTTATAATTGTATTTTGATTTAATTTTATTGGATATCAATAAGGTTGCGGATCTCATTTGGCAATAGTTGAAACCTTTCGATTTCGATGCGTTTCGACGTGTTTCGACGACAGGTTTCACAGGTCGTGCTGCGTCTCAGATGACCTCCATTGCGGCGTGTCTAATTTTATCAGCTTTGTAACGTTTAGATTATTTTTTCATAACATGTATTGAATAATATATTTCGTAATTACTTATCTTTCGCCATCTAATCTCATATTAAGAAATAATTTTTTTAAAAAAAAAAAAAAAAAAATTATGTCCAATGACGCAGCAGAATGAAATTACACAAACCAAATATGGAAGACAAATAACAAATAACATAAAATGGTTTTCAAAAAAAAATCCTCTTATATTTTATCAAATTGTATTTCTTTCCCCCTTTTAAAATTTCTATTAAAAAAAAAAAGAAACCGAAAATGACAAGAGGGTATTCATTAGAACAAGATTTAAGATTATTAATCAATAACCCAAAATATAGTGATATAGAAATTTTATGCAAAAATGAAAAGAAATTATATGGTTGTAGAGCTATTTTAGCTGCGAGATCTGAAGTATTTGACAGGTTACTTTTTAATAGAATTGGAGAAAGTTATGAGAAACAAATTTCTTTTTCAAAGATTAATTCCTCTGGAATGGAAATTATATTGGAATATATTTATACAGGAGTCGTTAAAGGTGAATCTTTAACCAAAGATAATATCATTGAAGCTTTTATTGCTGCAGATTACTTTCTACTACCGGACCTTCAAGATTTTATTTTGGAGACCGTTAGAAATACTTTGAAAATGAATTACAAGGACAATTATTCACCGGAATTGTTATCTGAAATCGTCGATGCGATGCCATTAACAGAAGATAATAATCTTTTCGATATATTAGTTGGAGCGGTTTCAACTATTCCGTTAAATTCTATTGAATTTGGTCGTTTATCTACTTCAGCACTTCGGATTCTTTTATCATGCTCTTATGAAAAGGAAAAACTTTTTGCAACCCCAGAATATGAAGTTTTTCGATATAGTGCTATCTTAATAGCAAGGCAAGTTTCTAATGATGCGGCCAAAACACTTTTGAAACGTTTGCCAACTTTAGAAAACATAGACGTTTCAAAGCCAATTAATAATGAACTTATCCCAGATTACCAGAAAGTTTCTAAGGAATTAGAACCTTTGATAAAATTCATTGATTTCAGACGAATTAAAGGTCAGATATTAGTTAATATCATCGAGCCATTAAACATTGTCCCACTTGAAACAATTTTAAATATTTATCGTCATAATACATTATCAAATAATACAATTTTAAATGAAAATCGTGGAGTTCTACAAACATTTGACGAAACTGCGTGTGGATCAAATCTTATTATTGAGGATAATGGACAAGTCGTACGAGCACCAAATGGTGTTAGTTCACATCAAAATGTTAGAGCTAAATTCTCATTAGAAAATGATGGTATTTTTGAATGGGATGTTATTATTGAGAAACACTGTGTATGGGCTTGGGTTGGAGTATGTACATCAGAAAATCTTGATTATGAAGAATTTGCGGGATATCAGTCTGCTGGATGGATATTGGGTACTTCGGGTTCAACATATCATCATTCTAAAAAACCGGTAAGTTATTGTCCTCCATTTAAAGAGGATAATAGCAAAGTTACAGTTCATTTAGATATGAAAAATAGGACATGTGCATTTACTGTTAATGGAACAAGATATCCATCGGTATCAGAATGGAAAGATTTACCACCAAAGCTTTATCCTGTTGTTTCATTACGATATCCTGGTCAGTTTCGTATTCAGCTTCATTGAATTATTTTTTCGATTTAATAATTTATTCAATGAAGTTGGAATTATTAATGCGTAATGGAATACAAATTTATTTGTAAGTTAGCAAAATAAAATTTTCAATGTTCACTTTATTTTTATAATATAAATTAAATTACGTGCTCAATTTATACTACTAGTTCTCCATCATTTTATTGTTAAAAGAGAAGTTTCACCATTGGATCTCTTCATTATAACCGACCGATATTCTGCAATGAGAGTAAATGGCTCATGTGATGAATTGCATCTTTATGAAAGCCTAAAAAGTTAGTTTGGCAATTATGAACGAGATATATACAGTACCTTGAGCTTTCTCACAGCTTGTCTTCTTTTGTTGTGGAAAAAGACGACCATATTTGTTTACTCTTCAGAAATATCCAACTTTTTGAAAGAGCCTTGAAGAGTGGCGAGATCATACACTTACATCATTAAAAGGGATCTTGGGTAAAGAGTATTAAATATATCCATGCATATAAACAATACTTTTTCTTATTTTATTTATTTATTCTAATTCTAAATAAAAAGACACAGTTGTTCATAAAGAATCTATTTTTTAAAGAACATGTATGAATTTCATTGAATAAAACTATAACTTTTTCTTAAAAAAAAAATTGTCAGATGTCGATCTCCAATAGGCTTACAAATATCAAACTATTTCTTCTCTAAAATAATGCTTTTCTTTTTTTAAAAAAATTAAAATTTACAATTAAAATTTTCATCAAAAAATAAATATATTGTTAATTTCATAAAAAAAAAATAAATAAAAATCAACCAGGTTATTCATCAGAAGAATCCTTTATGCTTTTTTTTGAACCTGACCCGCTAATACTTTTACGACGATTGATATTAGTTTGCGTGACAGATAATGCACTTGAAGTTTCAGAACGATTTAACGCAGAATTGTTTTGTATTTGGTTCGAGCAACTCTGCCGATCGTCTTGGATTCTTTAGATTCTTCACTCCATTTTCTTTCGTGTGCTTTAGTTTAACGCCTTTACGATTCTGAGTTTTTTTATGTGATGATGATTCTCCTTCACTTGATGCGTCAATCTTTTGTCAAAGAATTAAATGGACATGTAGAACGATTTGATCGATCCTCTACCCCAATCTGTTTTGCTTTATCTTTGGATCTCGTGGAAACTGTAGTGGTTGGTTGATCATAACGTATCATGAGTCATTCAAAGGCATTTAATCGATTATTTGATTAACTTTGCGTCTCCTAAAATTCATACCACATCATTTGAACTCGTTCATCCTCAGCTTCAGGTAATCAATGTAAAGATACGACTTCCCTTAAGACGAAATTGCTAAAGAATAAAGTTACGTAGTATTGTTTTAAAGTTGCAAGGTTAATTATAAAAAAATAAATTATTTGGTTATTTATATTGAATGGATAACATCATTATCAATGTGATATTTACTAACCTTGCTTGAGTTTTTCATTTTCCATAACTCTACTCGTCATTTTCAGATTCTGGAAGTCTAAAATACAGATGATCCGGCCAGTTTGTTTTGCCGGACTTATGGCGTGTTATTATGAGCCTATTCAAACAGTTAAATTTTGACTTTTTTTTTTATATTATTTTATTGTTACAAACAATAAGAGAAAAAGTCAAAAAAAGTCAATTTGAAAAGGCTCAATTAATATAAACAAATGGGTTGATTGCTAGGAAAATCAGGTTCCGGGAATTTTTTAACAAAATTGAGATTTTTATTGCATTTTAGTTCTTGATGTTATTAGATTAAAATGCATTTAAGCTCTTAATTTTAGTCAAAAATTTCTCGGAACCTGATTTTCCTAGAAACTCTCCCAAATAATATTTATTAACTTAAAAGTTATTATTGATTTTGTTGTACCTTGCATAACATTTCCTGCGGGGTAATGGAATTTTTCAGGAAGATTATGCTGCACCACATCGTTTAAAGGTAGCTGTGGCCTCATTTGAAAATGCTGGAATTGTGAAGCTTGACTGGCCGACACAGTCGCCAGATCTCGTTCCTATTGAGAATATTTGGTCGGAAATGAAAAGGATGGTCGCTCACCAACCACTATCTAGTATTAGTGTACTTACGGAATATGTCAAATATGCATGAGATGATCTCCGTCCTGAATATTATCGAAAATTAATCAATATTATGCCTCAGAGGGTCAATATAGTTATTTCCGCGAATGGAAATAGAATTAATTATTATTTTGTAAAATTCAATAAAGGAAGGCGTATTAAACATGTTAAACTTAAATTTTAATTTTAATTTTGTAAAACATATAAATTTTTTAAGGGTTTTTATTTTTTACGCATCTGCGCAAAATACAGGGTGCGTAAAATACGTAAAATACAATATTCTTACGCATTTTGATTTTTTTTACGCACCCTTATATTAAAATTATATTAAGTATAATTAAATAAAATGTTTCACAAATAATAACAAAATTTGTCTAATAAGCAAATAGCAAATAGCAATGAAAATAGTTTTTGCCTTCCCGGCGACCGAAGGGAGTCGGGCTCACATTAATTAAACATTCTAAATACTAATCTTCTTTTCGATTGATATTCATTGGACATGTAGTCCACTTTCATTGCATAATCCACATTTGCGAGTTTTGTTAACATTATTTTCTAAAGGTCCTTTGAATCTTGCAGTATCTGGTGGTCTTCCTTTTGGACGCCTACTTTCACTATCAAGAATATTTTCGATAAAATCGTTAGGAAAATTTTCATTATCTGAATTATCACTTGAAAGTGATTCTGAAACGCTCATTTTAAGGATATTCAACAATAAGATTTATAAAAAACAAAATAGGGAAAGAGAGAATAAAAAGAAGCGAGAGAAAGAAAGGAAGCGTGGGTACTGTACAATTGATTAAACAATTGATTTATTTAAAAGTCTAATAAATGATCATGCACATGATCATATGGATTGCGCATCAAAAAAACTACGCATGGGATGTATATTACACACCCATGTAGAATTCATATTTAATCATTTACTATACGTGCATAGAAAAAAAAATATGCATGGGTGCATTTTGTGCAGGGTGCGCAAAATACAAATTTCCATTATATAATTTATGAAATAATTTACTTATTAAGCATATTTAAATTTTAGTATTAGAAAATATAATGTAAATAATAATAAAAAAATTTTATTCATCTCCGTAATTACAAGAAATATTTCGATTAATGAAATTTATTTTTTTTTTTGTTGCATTAATTATGATCGCGACTGTATTTCTTAATAATATATAATATAAGGTCATTTTATTTTTCAAATAAAATAAATAGAAATCAAATATTGTTACCCAATTGACGATTAGGCGGACTGAAATACTTAATCGATTTAGCTCAAACTGCGCGTCTTTGATGAATAGTACGTCTGATTATACATCAATTATTACTTGAAATATTTCATAATCTTCAATTTCCAAGAAAGGTTTGTCGATAATTTGTTGAGTATAAGAATATTGTTTACAATAACCAACCAATTTCTCTTTATTATCATGAATTGATCGATTATAGGACATTGACTTGTTCATTAAGTATAAATCATGCCTACCAAATTTTGGTCCGTTAATTTGAGAATAGTAGATCGCCTCAGAAATATGATTTTTCTTAACTTTGCTTAATATATTTTTAGTAGAATGATTATCGTGTCGAATGTTATTATTATTTAAGGAGAAAAGAAAACTTGATGAACAAGGGACATTATAACCTCTATAAGGGTAGGTTTGAAATCCAAATCTATAATAGCTCTGCCAGGAAAATGGATTATAACCTCCAATTATTTCACCAGAATTTTTAACTTTAATTATACAAATAGTATTATCGATTCCATCGCAAATTTTATGAAAAGTACCAATGCCAAAACCATGTTTACTTCCTCTTAACAACAACTTGAATTTAAATTGTTTTTCTTCCTTTACCAACTCTTCTAAGGTGAGAAAATTATGATCTACGTTAGAACTCTTACACTCTTTAATCCATTTAGCTAATAAAGCAGTTTGTTCTCCTACGATAATAGTGGAATCGATTTGTTGATAATATCTTGCTGATAATATAATCATATTTTTAAAAATCTCTTTCTTCATATGATATTTAAAAATTGCTTTATTTAATCCCTTTGGCAAAATATTTTTGAAAGGTTTACCAATCTCTTTAAAGTAATCATCTAATCCGATATGATGAAATCTAATTAATGAAATGAAATCTTTAATCATCCCTTCAAGTGCCGCAAGTTGTTTATTAGAAAAACCTTTAATCATCTCGTTTGGCAAAGCGTTAGAAGCGAGTGAAGAATTTTTTGGTGATAAATTAGAATTATGGATTCCCCACTTGATCAGTTTTGTCCAAACTTCTAATTCATTCATGATTAAATTATTAGATGACAATATATCATAAATAAATCCCTTGTGAAATGATAAATAAACATCTGAAATGAATAGGTTAGAAGTATATTCTAAACATAATTGATCGACTATACATTTTCTTTGATCTAATTCGTTATCATTAAGATTAGAAGAGAAGTAAGAAGCGTTTAGCGAATGAAGGGTTCCGAAGAAATTATTTGTGAAGAGATGAGTAATTAAAGGCTTTAAATTTAGAAAAGAACTTGCGAAAAGAATTGAAATCATTTTTTGCTTAGTAAAATCAACTACATCCAAATTTCCCCTATAAATGTACCTATTCGGGACAAGAAAAAACACAAAAAATAAAGAATAAAGAGAGAAAAATATATGTGTGTGTATATATATATTTTTAAGATTATAAAAACTTAAAGGAGTGTATAAAAAAAGATAAATTCGTTGATACTCACTCGAGAATCACTTCAAAAATCGATGGTTCAATATTAGGTAATTCTAAAATAATAACTTTAACGTTATCTTTACGTTTTTTCTCATCACAAGGATGAATTGTTGATAATTTCTCATTGCTATTTACGGTGAATGTATTATTTAATGTGTCATGTTTCCTTTCGGGAATAATAGCGTTATAAAAATATTTCGATTTCGTATTTTTCAAAAGGATGGAACTATGTGCATAAAATTCTTTATAATATTGATTAAAGTCGTGAATTTTATTCAAGAATTTTACGTCCCTAAAAGGATTGGTATCTGTATTGTCATTCGCGAACAAGCGTCGTTTATTACCTACTTTGATTAAAACATCAAAGGATGAGTCTATTAGATTTTTATCATTCATGTTTTTAATTTATCGTTATCTTATTTCGTAATTTAAAGTTTATTGATTACTTCAAACACAAAACGAAACGAGAAAAAAAAAAAAAAAAAAAAAAAAAAAAAAAAAAAAAAAACAAATGCAAAGTTTATTTATAATCGGAGTTTTAATTCCGTGTCAAACACGATATGTTATATATACATAAATCTGATTTTCACAACCAATAAATGATCCAAAGTTTCCATCGATCACTACCTTTATGAGCCAGAATAATAGCAATTAAATAAACCCCAATACTACCAACACAAATCCAACCAAAGGATTCACCAAATATCGAATAAACCGTTTTAACTCTATTCTTTATCATTGTAATAGGAACTTGAAGTGTGACCATGGGCGTATTTACCGTTGGTATATAATGTAATGGTTGTCCGTATTGATTCCATATTCCTGAAAACCCAAGTGAATTGCAACGAAATGTTGTAAAACCATTTTCTATTGATCGAATTGCGTTCATACGAGCATGTAACGGACCAACCGGACCTGAGTATGAGGTTTGACACCATTAATAATTCAATCATAAAAATGATAACAACAATAATAACAATAATATAATCATCTTACCCTATAAAAAGAGCAGATCATAAAAAATCGGTAAAAAAAAAAAAAAAAAAACTTTTTTTTCAATTATACGAAAAAGAAAAAAGAAAATTTCTGTTAATGACTCACCCAAGTTTCACTAGAATCCAACATTAAATTAACATTTTTAGAAGAAGCCTGACCGATTAATTTGGGGAAGTCAAAATCAAAACAAATAGCAGCGCCAACAGTTCCCAATTCCTCACTCTGAAAAGTTTGCAACTTATCATCACCTTTAGCGAACAAAGTCTCTACGAAAGGTACCAGATTACTTTTCTTATAGTCTATAACAACCTCTCCCTTATTGTTAATTACCACTTGTTTATTTAAATATTTTTCCGTGTCAATACCTTCAATATAAGTAAAACCTATGTAAGCGTCATATGTCATTGAAATATTTTTGATTGAATCATATAAGTAATGTAATTCGTCTACGGTCGTAATGCCGGGGATTCCCTCCGACCAAAGAATAATTTTGTTCCCCGTACTCGCTAAATCCCGGGTCATATTGATGTAAAAATTTAAATCATCATTATTTATCTGTTTCGTGATACAACCGAAATCAATCAATGCTTCTTTAAAAGTATCATTAACGTTTTTTTGATAAAAAGGGACAAAATCCGTATTTAACCTAACGCTACCATAACTGATTACCAAAAACAATACAAACAAATAGAGACTCAATGAATTAATAAATGTCGGTAATGTTAATTCCCTTTTCGGTTGATTTGGTGGGATACGTAAAATTGTATCCGTGCTATTATCTTCATTATAAATGATGATCGATCCGGTACTTGATGTTTGCGCCTCGTCAAAATTTTGACGCTTCGATAAATGAAATGAAATGATATCACTTCCCACTGTTCCACTCCACGCTAATAGGAAATTGATTCCCCCTAATCCCGCGAATGACGCAAATTGCATTATCTCCCCGTAGTTTAAGAGGGCAAATCTACGAGGTTTGTGGAAATTAATTAATGAATACATCAATAAACAAATGAAAGAAAAATAAAATCACTTACACGTAATTCCCCCAATCACCTAATGCCCAAGTGTACAATAAAATTGTCCATATTCCTGTCCAAACGCAGGGAAATACCATAATTCTAGCCCACCCATCGCTAGAAAATTTACGTTGAGCAATTCTATCAAACATATTAGGTATGAGCATTATCAAATTTAAAATTAGTCCAATAACACATGATATTCCTAGATAATTCCCTACTCCCGATAAATTAAATGTGTTCATATATGCCAACATAGTCCCTATACTGTTCATCAGGTAGTAGAAAATTATCCACCACCATCTTGTATAAGTTCTTGTGTAATATACAGAGAGGGGAAAGTAGAGAAGGGTAAAAGTAGAAATGGTTTGGTAACCTGGTCCGAATGCAGTTAGGACCAAAAATAATGGAAGTAGCGAGTGTAGAAACAATGAGGGTGGATTTGGTGGCGGTGGTGTTAACGTTGGTGTTATCACAGCTCTTGGGTCCATTTGTAGTTTATCTTTAATTCCTTTTTCTAACGACCGGAGATCAGGATGAAAAAATGGATAAAATTCCCTCTTTTATAAGACAAATCAGAAAGAAGGTAGATTTGGTTATTTTTGATAAAATATTTTGCACCAATTTATATGATAAGACGGTTTTGGGAAGTCCTTACTTTATTTGGTGATATTCATTCATTCATTATTTAACAAAACAAATTCGGTTTTAAAACCTTATCCGAAGATTTACCGGAATCCGTTTCAATGGTTCAAAAAATCAAAATATTTGCATTAGGTTGCATTCGAATATGGAATATATGACATTATTTTGCATAAGATTAATAAAATTCTTGGAAAATTTAAAAACCTTTGCCCTTTCATTATAATAATGGAAAAATCCCAATCTTTGAAGTTAAGGATAAATAGTTGTTTCCTGAAAAGAAAATGATTTTTTATTATAATAAAAAATTACGGTGATGAAATTTTGCCATAATACCGATATAGTCATAGATCCGTAATATGGTTTCGGAGAAAGGATATCATGTGATAAACATCCCGACAGACTTACCGACTTATTTGACCGCCCGACCTCCAATTTTTCAAACGATAAAAGTATTTATGGATTTAAATAAAAACATTCTGAAATTTATATATATTGATATTTAGTAAGAAAATAAAAAAAAATTATTTTACGTTGAAGGATTTAAAGAATACGAGCTGGTTCTTTTGAATATCAATCAGATCCTATTAAATAGAAAAGATGTTATGATAGTAAGCTTAGGTTTTAAAAAAAAAAAAATTTTTTTATAAATCATAAAAAGATAAAATCTATGATGTTTAATGCATTGACATTTGAATATTTAAAAAATTTTTTTTTTGGCGTAATGGGATTACACAATATCACAATATGCACTATCATTGTAATTGATCATTCGGAAATGATATGATCCTCCTCAACAATGAATAAATCAAATAGATCACGCGCAATCCAAAACGTTTTTAGTGAAAAATGCGCGGCTAGGTTTAAATTATTAAATAAACAACGAAAACTTCACTCTTAAACAGGTTTAAACGACACATTTTGGATTCTTTTTTTCTTTTTTTTTTTTTTTTCCTCAATTCGCTTCGAATTAAAGAGAATATAGATTTTTAAAATCATGGAGTATGATCATACATCGGATTTACATCAGGATTTTTTAAATTTACTTGAAAATTCCGAGGATTATAATGTGAAGTTTGAGATTGGAAAAGAACCAAACATTAAGGAATTTGAAGCACATTCTATTATATTATCTGCTAGGTCAACTTATTTTCAGAGAACAATTTCAAAATATTGGAATGAAGAAAAAGAGGTTCTCGTTTTCAAAAAGCCAAACATTTCCCCTTTGATATTCGAAATCCTTTTAAAGTAAGCTATGATGATGATGATAATGATAATGATAATCATAATAATAATCATAATAGAAATAAAAATCATAAAAATAAAATAATTTACTGTTGGCATGTTTTTATAAAAAATATTTGTCATAATTAGGTATATTTATACAGGAACACTTTCTGTGGATGATGAAGCTAGTTTTGCTGACGTTATCGTTGCAGCGGACGAATTTGAATTACAGACCCTTGTACAACAACTTGAAAAGCATTTAATTCAAAATGAATCAGCATGGCAACTACCAAAAGATTTTATCACAATTTGTCAACACAAACAATTTCCTAATTTGGGTAAATATGCATTAGACTTGGCGTGTAGGAATCCAAAGCTCATTTTTGAATCAAAAAATTTCTTACAAATGGATCAAGATATTCTCATTCAACTCTTAAAATGCGATGACCTTGAACTGAAAGAATTTGAAATTTGGGAACATTTAATTAGATGGGGAATTGCAAATATCAAATCTACTGCTGTAGATGATGATTTGACGAAATGGACTCCGATGGATTTCATGGATCTAGAAAATACCCTCCGTGATTGTATCACTCACATCCGATTCTTCCATATGTCCTCAAATGATTACGCAAAAGTCAGAGGTCGATTTAAGAGTATTCTTCCAAGTGGATTGGACGCTGAGGTTGTTCGATATTTCCTGAATCTAAACGCTAATCCTTCATTCAACGTTTTAAAACCAAGGGTATCAGATTATCCATTTGATTCCAAGATCGTTAATGCCAAGGACGCGGCTTTAATATCGAGTTGGATCGATGATAAACAGGAGAACCCCTATCATTTTAATGATTTACCTTACGAGTTTAAGCTTATTTACCGTGCAAGTAGTGAGGGTTTTAGCGTTAATAATTTTCATAACAATTGTGATGATAAGGGTCCAACGGTGGTTGTCATTAAGGTTCGCAATTCGAAAGAAATAATCGGTGGATACAATCCGTTAGGATGGCGCAGCATCAAAACAGAAAATGTGAGAAGCTACCTATTATCTTATAATGATGAGCTTTATTCAAATCATAAATGCGAGACATCAAGTAGTTTTATATTTTCACTAACAAATCGAGAAAAACCTATATTAAGCAAAGTTTCTTCCAAAGATGGAGCGATCATGTGGAGTAAAAGGAAAGGACCGTGCTTTTCGAAAGACTTATGCATTTACGATGGTTCTTCGTCGGAATCTTCGTATAACAATCTTTTTGGTTCATGTAAACAATGTTCCTATGAAAAGGAAATTACCCATAGAAAAAATTTTCAATTAGAAGATTATGAAGTCTTTCAAATCATTAATAAGGGATGTAATGCTAACAAGAATGTTGAAAATTTAAATTATAGAAATGTTAGAAATTGTTTATCAAAGAGTTTGGATGTCTGTTATTGTTTGATCATCTTTCTTCTTTTTATCGTCGCTTTTTTTCTTATTGTCGGAATCATTATATTAATCATTTTTTCTATTTATTGGTTTTTTGCAAATGTAAATCTGACAACTGAGCTGGTCGTCCTTGGTTGGTTATGCATACTTGCTTGTGCGCGTTATATGCTTAATATGCGTAATTTGCAAACTGCGGAGTGATTAGGATTATTTGTCAGGTGTTTTGCGTCTATTTTTTTTTTTTTTTTTTCCATCATTCTTAGCATATGTTTATTTATTTAACCATTTTTATCTGTAAAGTAAATGAATGAATGATATTCGAATAAAAATTCCCGTTAAAAATAGAGCGGCGCAGCTTCTGCATGTCTATCTTATTACAGGTTCAAAACGAGTTTAAAAGATATGTATTTTCACGCGCGTTCATTTTCATTCTGTTTGTTACCTTTTTTCGTCTCCCTTGCAATTCAAAAAAATGAAGTATAGAAACTCAACGAAAATTTCTAAAGATTTCTCAGAGTTACTTGATAACCAAAATGATTATGATGTTAGGTTCAAAGTTGGTAAAATGCCAAACGTTAAAGAATTCGCAGCGCATTCTATTATCCTGCGTGCTAGATCAGACCATTTTCTTAAGGCATTGTCAAATCGTTCTACAAAGCGTAAAGGTCTTATCACTTTCAAGAAACCTAATATCTCACCTTTGGTATTTGAAATCCTTTTAAGGTAAACAAACGTTAATCGTCATTTTCATGATGAATTTAAATGCTTTACTGAGTCATGTACTAAGCGCAATTTTCTCTTATCATGACAAGGTATATTTACACGGGGGTACTTTCCATAAAGAACGATGATATTAACCTCGTTGATATCATTATCGCAGCGGATGACTTGGGATTATCAAGAGTTGGTCAACAACTTGAACCATTTTTACTTCAAAACGAAACGGCTTGGAACCTTCCAAAAGATTTTCTTGCAATCTGCAAACACAATCGATTTCCCGATTTGGTTAAATATGCCTTGGATTCTATGTGTAAAGATCCACAAATCATTTTTGAATCCAAAGAATTTTTACGAATGGAAGAGTTCACCCTCATTCAACTTTTAAAATGTGATGACCTTAAATTAGAAGAGGTTGAAATTTGGGAATATTTAATTAAATGGGGAATTGCGAATACCGATCCGACATTAAATAAAGATTTGAAAGAATGGAGTTCAATGGACTTTATGAACTTGGAAAAAACTTTACGTAATTGTATCCCTCATATCCGTTTCTTTCAAATGTTACCTGGTGATTACATGAGAATCAAGGATCAATTTAAAAATATAATTCCTAATGGTCTAGATTATGAAATCATTCAACATTTCTTAAATCCAAACTTCAATCGATCGTTCAAAGATTTACCATTAAGGGCGTCAAGCTATTCTTTTGATTCCAACATTATTCATGCCAAGGATGCAGCCTTGATAGCAAGTTGGATTGATGGTAAACAAGAAAACCCTTATCATATTAAGGATTTAAATTATGAGTTTAAGCTTATTTATCGTGCTAGCCGTGAAGGGTTTAGCGTTAACGATTTTCATAGTAATTGTGATAACAAGGGTCCAACGGTTGTTGTCATTAAGGTTCGGAATTCAGGAGAGATCATCGGCGGATATAATCCATTAGAATGGCGTAGTATGAACACGGATAATGAAAGAAGTCCCCTATTGTCTTTTGATTATTCTTTACATAAAACATCAAATAGTTTTATCTTTTCATTGACTAATAGATCGATTCCTATATTAAGTCGAGTTTCTTCTAAACGCGAAGCTATCCTTTGCGATACAAGCAGAGGTCCACGCTTTGGTTTGAAAGATTTATGCATTAATGATGTTCTTTCACGGGAAGGAATTTCTCATGGCATTATCGTTGGTACAAGTAAACTACATTCTTATGAAAAAAAAATTATTCATGACGAAACCTTTGAGATAGAGGAGTATGAAGTATTTCAAATTATTGATACGGTTTCTGAATTAATGCGTACAATGTTTAAAATTGTATTACTATTATCGTTATCACTTATCTTTTATTTTTCGCTATTTTATTTGAGAGAGAATATGTTTTTACTATTTGTATGTTACCTTACCACTTTATATCGTATACTCATTGCGTAGTCAGATTGTGTCACGTATTTAAATAAAACGAAAATCACGAGGATATACTGTAAAATTCTGTGATGATGTGATCCGTTGTCTATAACGGGTTTAAACAAGTTTTTTTTTAAACAATGGAAAAAAAAAGTGTTCAAATTTTCATATTTTCTTTGCCCTTTGTCATCTTTTTTTTTTTTCGTTTCTCTTTGAAATACAAAATAAAATAAAATAAAATAAAAATAAAAAAAAAAAAAGGATGAAATATAGCCATTCGTCAGATACTTCCAAGGACTTTTTAAATTTGCTTGACAATCCAAATGGTTATAATGTCAAGGTTAAAGTTGGTAATGTACCAAATGTTAAAGAATTCAAAGCACATTCTATCATTTTATGTGCAAGGACAAATAATTTTTATAAGGCATTCTCAAATCATTCGGCAATTTTCGAGAACGGAGTTATCACTTTCACGAAACCTAGTACTTCACCCTTTATTTTTGAAATTCTATTAAAGTAAGATTTTATTTCAATATGATTAGATTTTTAAAATTTTTTCACCGCGACATCCATTAAATTTTTTTTTTTAAAAAAAAATAGATATATTTATACGGGATTACTCACTGTTGATAACAAGACTAGTCTAGTTGATCTTCTTATCGCGGCGGATGACTTTGGATTACCAAAAGTTTTTCAACAACTTGAAACTCATTTATTTAAAAATGCATCAGCCTGGAAATTTCCAAAAGACCTTCTTACAATTCGTCAACACGATCGATTCTCTAATTTAAGTGAATTTGCCTTCAAATCTTTGTGTAAAGATCCAAAACTTATATTCGAATCAGAAGATTTTTTACAAATAGAAGAGGACGTTCTAATTCAACTTTTAAAATGTGATGAACTTAAGCTAGATGAGATGGAAATTTGGGAATATGTAATTAAATGGGGAATTGCGAATACTGTCCCGACACCAACAAAAGATTCGAAAGAATGGACTTCAATGGATTTTATAAACTTGGGAAAAACTTTGCGTAATTGTGTCCCTCATATCCGTTTCTTTCAAATGTTACCGGAAGATTACATAAATGTTAGGTCTAAATTTAAAAATATAATTCCCGATAAATTTGATGATGATATTATCGATTACTTTTTAAATCCAACCTCTAATCATTCATTTGATGCCTTACCGTTAAGAACGTCAGCTTATGCTTTTAATTCCAAAATACTTAACGTCAGGGATGCTGCCGTAATAGCAAACTGGATTGATAAAAATCAAGGGAAACCTTCACACTTTAAAGATTTAAATTATGAATTTAAGCTTATTTATCGTGCCGGTCGCGAAGGATTTGGTGATAATGATTTTCATATCAATTGTGATAATAAGGGTCCAACGGTTATCGTCATTAAAGTTCGAGACTCGGGAGAGTGCATTGGCGGATATAATCCATTAGAATGGCATAGTATTAATACAGATGACGAGAATAGTCATCTATTATCACCTAGTTATTCTTTATACAAAACATCAAATAGTTTTATATTTTCATTAACTAATAGAGCGATTCCTATATTGAGCCGAGTTTCTTCTGAAAATGAAGCTATCCTTTGCAGTAATAGCAAAGGACCATGCTTTGGTTTGAAAGATTTATGTGTTACCCATTCTCTTAGTAATATTGTCGGTATAAGTAGGCAATATTCTTATGAAAAGAAAATTATTAATAACGAAACTTTTGAAATAGAGGAATACGAAGTATTTCAAATTCTTGATAAGAGATCTGACTCATTATAAAAACGTAGAATATTTTTTTTTTTTTTTTTGCTTTGTATATATTCTTTGATATAGAAAATAAATTTCCTTTTTTTTTTCTTATTCTAAATCTTTGTAAATTTCAATTGTCGCGCGTTAGGTTATTTATGGGAAAATTATGTATATCGTATGATAGTTTAATTAAAAAATAAAAAATAAAATCTTCATATTATTGAAATGTATATAATTTAAATATAATCCCTTATGATGTCTAGTTCATCTTAAAATTCTCAATTGATAATTTTCTTCAATCCTTTTATATTGCAAAATATGCAGAAATTGAGTATTAAAATTAAAATTTAATATCTAATTTATAATAAATTAATCATATTAATATTATATATAAACGATATTGATGAATTTGATATCACCAGAATGCATATAATAGCTAAATAGAAAAGAAAGATCTATATCTAGCTGTATTAAAAGATTTATTTAATAAGAAACTAGAGCTTAAAATACGTTTATAAATCTTCTAAATATGTACAGAATTCCTCTTTCACTTTCGAATCAATTATTAATAATGTAATACTAAAATCATTCAAGTTTATTTAATACATGATTACTTTATAATAAAAAGAAAATTATTACCTTGATATTAGATCTATTAGACTAGTTTACTTACTATGAATAAATCAAAATTTATATTTTACTTTTTAAAAAAAAAGATTATAATGATATAAATTTTATTTTATTAAAGTAAATATGTAGCAGATTTTTAAAAATTTATAATTTAATAAGGTAAATAAAATGTTTCAAAAATTTTATAAATGATAAATATCATAAATTACAAATGATACAGTGACGTGAAACCACATCAATCTATCAGGGTAAATCTGTCAACCGCCTGTGTATAGTTATCAAAAGATTTTGTTAAAAGAATTTCAACTTCTCGCTATAATCATTATAATTTGCCATTCTTGCACTTTTTACAGTCATAATTAGGTTTGCAAACTTTATTAAGTAAATTGATAGCAGAGTAAACCATAAATTTAATAAACAGTGGTCTCATATTGATTGGCAATATGCATCCACTATACATTGTTCTACTCATTATACCCTCTTTTTTAATGAAAATAAACAAATTTTCCTATGAACACGCGGTTCCGAAAGATATATTTTTGCTCCTGATGACTTTAATCGCTTGTCAAAGACTTTTTGATATTTGATAATAGGTGAACATGATTTTGAAAGAAAACTATAGCGATGGCGTTTGATAAGTGATGGATTTTTTTGTCTAAAGTATAGGAGATGGTAATCGCGTATAAAAACATTATTGAGAGTAAAAAGATCTAACGATTAGAAGTCTAGAACGATGGATAGATGTGAGTAAAAATATGGTGGAACCAAATTAAAAATAGGTAAAAGTTGGATGACAGTACACAGGTTCCATATATTTAAATCTTGGCGTTTGGATCTTTGTTGATAATCTTAGAAAACCTTTGGGTTGAATTGAATAATATCCATCACCAATTTTTTTTTAGATGGTTTGTTCAAGATTACCGAAGTTTTTATACTTTCTTCCTAATATCATAAAATAAAATGTAAGAAAAGATAAGCCATTGGAAATGATAAATCATTAAAATTGAATTTCATGGATGTCATGAAAATCATGAATGTCAACGTCTATCCTCACAAAGATATTAGTACTAAGATATCTCAGCCGGGTTTTTAGATGGTAAGAATTACCACCAAAAAAAAACGATATTTTGATCTTGCTTTTTGTATTCCACTTCAAAGAGTAAAACTAACTCATAAAGTTCTTGCCAAAGCGTGAGTGAAAAAAAAAAAAAAAAAATGAATACCACAAGACTACATACACATACGTAACAAATTGGAACCAGTCTAAAAATTAATTGAACAAAAAGATTTAAATTAGTGATGTATTAAATTTTTACATTCAATGATTGTTGGTCTCCGCCTTTGTCAATGTTTCAAATCTAAGAAACCTGAACAAAAAAGAGATCTCATCTATACCATAACTAATCTAATGCTTGCAAACAAAAGAAAAGTTTGGATAAAGAAGTTTTGAAGTTTATTCTATGTCCGGCCTTACGGCGTATAACTAACGATAAGTTAAACGCATAGGTTTCGAACAAATTTTTTAACAGATTTTGCTACTTAAGTAACGTAACAAACGAAAGAAACTTACGTTGAAGATTAAGCGTCCAAGGGTTTGAATGGATTTGGGACTTGAAATCAAAAATTGGTGTAGAAAGATGTAGAAAAATTATTTCGGAATAGATTAACCAATCATCAACGACTCGACAAATAATTTAATCATCCACACAAGAAAATTGTTGGTCATTACGAGACATCGTGTAATTATTTGTAACATTCTTAATATTATTGAATGTTGAATGTAAAGTACGGAATAACCTTTGAGGTAAAAAAAAAAAAAAAAAAAAAATCAAATATTTAGTAGCAAAATAAACATAATAAAAATAAAACAATTTTTGAGGGTAGATCTTATAGATATTATTATTATTATTATTATACGCCAACCCGATATCTATCGATATGGTCCGTAAAAAATGATTTGTTAAAAGTCTTCAGAAAAGTGGGGTGAAGCATCAATCGCAATTAAAAATGGAAACTTCTCTTTTTTTTCCTAAAACAGAAATAATAAGGTCCTGGCTGGTATTACGCATTTAGTAAATGGGTAGTTATTTTTTTTTGCCTTTACGCCCTAACGTCCATTTTATTTTTCAAGGCGGATCTAGTTAGGATATGTTTTCATCTGAAAATTTTTCGATCCCGAGGATAATCTGTAATTTGCTTTTGTAATCGTATGATCCTTTGTTGCCAAAACTTTAAACACGTGAGAGTTCTTTGTCAATAATTTAATACACATAACAACAATTAACCTTAAAACTGTATCAAATTAAGGGAGTTTTTTTTTAAAAGTGCCGAATATGTGAAGAGTTCTTTTTATTAAGATAAACATTAAAAGGGTGTATAAGGTTTAATTTTTTTCCGAAAACTAAATCATAATCAACGGTCAAAATTTCTTGTGGGGATTTTCGTTTATATAACAAAAGATCCGAAAATAGCAATTCATTATGAGAGGTTATTTTATTGGATGTTTGGAATTTACTGGACAAGGGACAAATTAAACGACCATTTGGTTACTACATTTTTATTTTATTTTATTTACAAATGATTTGGATCTTCCGAACATCTCTTTTTCATGAGAAACAATGTTAGTTTGTTTTTGACGTCTATCCTCGGGAGATGAAATGATTTAAAACAAAAGGGACCTTTGGCACCAAAAACGTTCTAGGCTGCGCCACGAACCACGATTGGGATTATCACTTGACATCATATCATCATTTACAATGGTTTCATCCGCTAAGATTATTTATAAAATCAAATTTCCTCCTGAATAATTAATTTTGGTTAGATTGTTTGAATCTAATTGGTGCTCTGTAATTGTTCTCGCAATAGTTAAAAAAAAATTTTTCTCCGACGAAATTTCCGGATCATAAATAACAATAATTATTCACAAACACCAATTAAAATTTGGGTGAAAATATGTTCCCAAATAATCAAATAAATAGTTCCTTTTTTAATAACTGGATTCAGGAAAAAAAAAAAAAAAAAAAAAAATATATTTTTTTCTTTTTTGGTACGCCAAACCCTACTTGTTTCCTTCTTTGACAGATAGTAAGAGACGATGCAATAGTAACTTTCTTTTTTTTTTTTTTTCTTTTTTTTTTCTTTTTATACTTTAACCAGACTTCCTTCTTCTTTCGATTTACGTTCATTAATAAATAACAACAATCATAAAAAAAAACCATCATAAAAAAAAAAAAAGGAAAAAAAAAAGCAACACTAAAAATAAACATTTAGAAGTTTTAAGTTCCTTGTAAATATATATATTATGGGTACAGTTACATCAAAAATTAATAGTAAAACCAATCGAAATACTAATAATAAAACTTTTACGAATAATAATTATAGAGAATTATTTTTTGAAAAAAATAATTTGGGTACGGTTGATGAAATTATACATTTGGGTCATTGTGTACTTAGAGAAGTATGGGGTGGAAATTTCTCCTCTCCAATAAAACCGCTCTTAACGAGCGGTGCCAAAGTGTTAGACGTGGGATGTGGTTCCGGAACGTGGATATGTGAGATGTCATCGGACTATCCAACTTCTCGCTACATAGGAATAGACACTCTTCCCTTGTTTCCTACAACGAAACCTTTTAATGTTCAATTCATACAACACGATTTCCTTAGTAGTCTCCCTTTTCCAGATGCGACCTTTGATTTCATACATATCCGTTTCATGATATTCGAACTAACCGATACGATATGGGAACAGGTTATGTATTCCGAATTAGTGAGAGTTTGCAAGGTTGGTGGGTGGATTGAAATTTCTGATCCAGAATTAAATCTCCGTCATGAAGGTCCTATTACCGAACGTACAAATAACTTTTGTAAGTATCAAACGAACCTTTTTTTGTTTTTTTTTTTTTTTCCTCCTTTTTTTGGTTTGATTTCGCTAACTCCTCGCTTCCGATTCATAGTCCGAAGGAAATTGCAATCACGGGGAGTCAATCCGGAAATAACATCATTACACGCTCATCATCTACCTTCAACTCCGAACATTTCTTCAAACATTTATCATGAACACCGGGAAATTACAATTAGTTCAAGGTTATCCGACGATAAAGTAATTCAATCATTTACAACTTATATGTTGGAATCTTATAGATTTATATTAAATTCCATAGGTCATGAATTAAAATTAATATTAAATAATAGTAATGTAAGAAGAAATAGTTTAATTAATAACATTAGGAGAAATCATAACTCCGAAAATCTTAGAAGGATGTCGAATTTGATAGATTCTTCTTCTGATGCTTCTTCCTCTTCTCCTTCTGGTATCCAAGGTGATAAGGATGTTGAAATAGACAAATTGTTGAAAAAAATCGAAAATGAATTCGAGAATTATGGTACTCGTGCTATGATTCACAGATTCTACGCGATGAAAAACTGAATCGAGAAAAAAAAATCAAAAATTAATAATTAAGGAGACAACATTATTTTCTAAGTACACTTTAAGGTCGATTATAGTTTTACTATTATAGTATTTCAATCTTCTATGTATAGGCAATCACGCTATTTAGCATTTTCATGATGTAAAGAACATTTAAATTTTTTTCAGTTTAATAAAAATTTTAAAAAATAAAACCACAAAAAATATCGTCGATGACGATCTACCGAATTGAAAATTTTGATCAGGTTGCACGACATATCCATCAGCTTTATGATTACCTTAAACTGGTAATGATTTTTTTTTCATTATTGATATTTGATTTGCATTATCAATCCAAAAGTTTAAAAGCATCTTTCAAGTTGACCATTTGGGATTGCGAAAAAATTTTTTTCATCTTCCTTGTTGTTCAGTTGTAATATAGAGTCAACGTTCTTTTTACTTTTATAATATATTTAATCTGAAATTAACATTTTTTAAAAAAAAATAATTATGTTGGACTCTATTACACAATTTATTAGTAACCCAGAATACCATGACATTTTATCTATTGTCAAGGGGTTTCGTAATGGTGCCGTCTATGGCGCAAAGATAAGATTCCCTCATGCTTTAGTCATGACATTTTTATTTCGTACTGGAAGGTAATTTCAAAAAAAAAAAAAAAATCCTTTCTTTGAAATGGGAATACGTTAATAACTTCTTCCTTTCAAACTTTTAGTCTTAAGGACAAGTTATATTTCATTTTTGATGCCACAAAAATGCATTCAGCAAATCTGGCCAAATTTGTTACGATATATAAAACTTTGATGTATCTACAGAGAAAAATGGTTGGTAAAGAACAAAATGGTCATTCATTCATGGCCGGTTTAATTGGTGGTTATTATGTTTTTGGTGAAAACAACAACGTCAATCAGCAGGTAATCCTGTCTTTTTACGGTATATATATTTTTTTTCATTGTGGATTCATCTTCAAAAATTAACAAAAATTTTTTTTCAACCGCACCTTTTTTTATAAATATATAAAAAAAATTAATTAAGATCGTGCTTTATGTGTTTGCGCGGATTATGGTGGGGTTAGCCAAGTTACCTGTCGCTCGTAGAGCGATGGACGAACCGAAGAACACGTTTCCAATTTTTGCAGCTGTGGTTTGGGGTACTGTTATGTGGCTATTCCGTCACGATCGTGATGTTTTACAACCTTCCCTGCAAGCTTCTATGCAATATTTGTATTTAGACTCCGATTATTGGACTACCCTTAAAAATTTCTTATGGCATAATAAATAATAGATAGAAATTCTAAAATTTGTACAATAAAGTCAATTAATAGTAATAATATTAATAAAATTATTTATAAATTTCTTTTTTTTTTTTTTGATTCTTTTTAATTTTGTCAATTTTTTTTCTTTTTCACTTCTCCCCCGAATTTGGTTCACCCAAATTGTTCTTGTGAGTTTCAAGGGTGAAAACCAAATCTTGAGCATTTCGATTCAACAATTCAACAATCCTTGAACTGGGCGAATTCAACAATCCAATGAGTTCACTTTGAAGATGTTTCAATCCCGGTAATTTTGCAACCCGTTGAAATCCTTCCAAATCCAATAAAGATCTATCCATTTTACCACCAACCAATACCAATTTCTTATTATTACTAATGATATTAAGAATATCAGCAACTAATCTTGGATTTTCATCATCACCAACGTTTGATCCGATCAAACAAGTTGGTCCAACCACCAGAGGTAATAAATTACTGTATATGGATTGACGTATGACGGATCCAAATATGCTTCCACGTACTGCTGTAAGTATCGCTCCCTTTCTTTTCAATTCTTCTCGAAGTACAATTTGTTCTTGTACATTGAGATTATTATGTTGAACTATAAAAACCAACCGATTGAAATGAAGATGTGTATAATATAAATTGTATAGATAAATCGCAAGTGATTTAAAATTATTTCCGTGCTTTGTTTTCTTTTGTTGTGGAGCATGTGGTGGTGGTACATTTTTTGATATCAATGGATCCGTTGTCGAATTCGATGATTTTTCCAAAGTAGGTTGATGCTTTGCAACCTTTTTGGAAGTCGTCCCGTCTAAATTTCAAACGAAATTAGTTCTAATCAATAAAGGATCGATTAATGAATTGTTCGGATCGGGTACAATACATGATCGGATAGTAGGTAATGCATCGTTAAATAATTTTTGCTGAAGGGCGCATTTAAATCCTAAAAAATAAAAAAAAAACAGAAAAAAAAAGTTTTACAAAGCAGGTAATTTTAATAAGTCAATAGAAAGATGCAGGAAGTTGCAAGACCTTGAGTCGAAGCTATATGTCTGATTTTTTTCATTGCTCGAGTTGTACCCGTAGAGATTGTTGAATAAGGTAAAGAGGAATGGAATTATTTGGATTTTGAAATCCGGGTCTCGAAAACTTTTTTTTTTTTTACCGTAAACTTCCAAAATTATATATTGGTTGATGATCTACAACACAAAAAAAAAAGTATAAAAATATTTCACGTGTTATCATACATGATAATACAGCAAAGACAAATCGTTATGAAATGGCGCTTAATTTTTTGTTTAATCTAATAATGCCTTCTCCACTTTTTCTTTGGCGAGCTGCTGCTGTTTTAGGCGCTACGGGAATTGCTTTAGGTGCATATGGTAGGTCCCTTTCTCGGGCAGCATACAAAGAGAATTTGTTATTATGTGAAGATTTCATTTGGTATCGATTATTAAATTAGGTGCACATGGTCTCCAAAAACGTACAATGGACCAAGCAAAAATCAAGGTAATGCATGGTTTGATCAAGTGAGGTTATTTATATCTCGATCCTTTAGTAAAACATTCCTCATCTTTTTCAATAGAATTGGCAAATAGCGGCAAATTATCAAATGATACATTCAATAGCATTACTAGTGCTTTCAAGTGTAAGACATCCAGCGACAGGAAGAGATGCTTCATTTGCTGGTAGTTTGATGTTAACTGGAATTCTTATGTTTAGTGGATCTATTTATTTGTTAGTTATGGATCGGAATACATTTAAATTTTTAGGTATAGTCACTCCAATTGGGGGTTTGATTATGCTTGCTGGTTGGGGAGCTCTTTTATTATAATCATTTAAAGAGTTGAAATGCAATTAATTAATTATATACAAACATTTCTATTTGAATGAGTTTTCGAATTCTACTCTTTAAAGAGTGAATGTGCAAGACAATAAAAATTATTTTCAAAACGCAAAATAAATTTGATATTCTGTCAAAAAGTGTCTAATAAAATAGATTGAAATAAAAAAAAATAAAAAATAAAATAATAATAATAATAATGCATTATTATCTTGTTTTGAGACAAAATGTTGACGTAGTCAATTTCTACCTTTAAATGTTCTTCCCTTTTTTGAATATTTGAAGAGCAATACTATATGAAACCAAAATTACTTTTTTTTTTTTTTTTTTTTTTTAAAAAAAAAAAGAAATCTATAAAATGTTTTGGAGTTGGCTTTTTTGAGCCTCTGATAACTTTGCAGGAAACAAAACGTTATATTTCACCACAAGATCACCTTTTTTAATTGGATCTTTTGTGGGCATTCCCTCTTTAGCAAATCTTTGTTCTTGACCTGGAGAAATTACACTAGTATTTGTGATAACCAAATTCCTACCATCCAATGTTTGAATGGTCTTTTTAAATCCTACAAGTGCTTCAAGTAAACTAATTTGTAAAGTTATATGTAAATTGTCTCCATCACGTGTATAAACTGGGTGTGGTTTTTCTTCCAAAGTTACTACAACGTCTTGTGTTTCACCGTTCGGCAATTCATCTCCAGAATTTGGAAATCTAAATTTTGATCCAGCTTTCATTCCTGGCCTAACAGTTATTTCCAAGACCTTATCGGTTTGCACTACTTTACCGGAAGCGCTATCAATAAGTTTTCGCTTAACTTTAAGTTTCTTGGTGGTGCCTTTGTATATCTCTTCAAGACTTAGCGGCAGACTATGTTTAACTTCTGACACTCCATCTGACCCACGTTGTCTATTAAAGATATCACTTCCAAAATCACCAAAATCACCAAAACCACTTGACATTTTACTCTTCGAGCCAAATCCACGAAAACCACCGGGAAATGCACTTGTAAAATCATCATCAGTATCACCAAAGCCTTTAAAGAATTGACTAAAGATAGTATTTGGATCTGATGGATTAAAACCTCCTAAAATAAAAAGAATAGTTGAGAATTGATTCATCTTTAAAATGTTTTGTTCATAAAACGCAAAGAATTTACTTACGTCCATCGGACGAAGAAAACGTGAATGTCGTGCCACCACCACCGGGAAAGTTGAAACCGGCTGGAAATCCTCCTGCAAAACTAGCACCCGCATCAGGCGGCGGAGCTCCTCCTTTCAAACCTTCTTCACCATACATATCATATATTTGTCGTTTATTTTTATCACTAAGTACTTCGAAAGCCTCACTAATTTCCTTAAACTTTATTTCTGCGCTCTCCTTATCTTTATCACCTTGATGTCTGTCCGGATGCCATTTTAATGCTAATAATATTGAGCATTTGTTTTAATTTTTTAAAAAGTTTCAATGAAAAAAAATTAATAAATAATGGCCATATGTATATCAAACCTACCTAATTTTCGATAGGCCTTCTTAAGTGCTTCGTCGTCTACGCCTTTATCAACACCAAGAATTTTATAATAGTCTTTACCCATGTCTTTTCTTGTAATTTAATAAGAGACTAATTTTTGCCTTTTTATTGCTTTAATTGTAGAAAGTTACGTGAATTAAGAATAAATATTCAACTCAAAAGATATAACAAAAAAAAAAGCGCAATGGGTTAACAAATGTTTCTCGCGTGTGAAAAACAAAAAATCTGAGAAATAGTTGGTTCCAGATCGTGAATTAACGATGAAAGACGTTAAACAATTTATTAGCCAGTGTTCGAAATCGGTTGAGAAAACCAAAAAAAAAAAAAAAAAAAAGGTTAATGGGCTTTTTATAAATGGAAATCGTATGAGAACTTGCTGGGTCGTAGTATATTTTGCTAGAACATTCTAAATATAAATATTTAAAATAATTAAAATAATTGCTTGTCAGCGAATTCATAGAATTTGCAACGATCATGACTACGAAAAGCCCAAAATTTCTATTAGATTTAAAAAATCTAAAAAAAATAGTAACCGATTTTCGATCATCTTAATTCATAATTGGTTATGTATCTCTTGAGTAAGAAAAACGAATGGGTATTTAATGTAATAATGGTTACTAATCAATCCATCTCTCATGTGTATTTATTTATATGAAAATTTTCTTTAAAATACACTAGTCAAATTTAACACTCCGTGCGATATACAAGATCTAATTTATCCCTAATTTAAATAAAATAAAACCCCATTCTTTCTTTACTTCTGACAAGCAATAACTTTTATTACAACGTTACATTACTGAATGAATAATACTATTTAAAATTTTTAAATAAGTGAAGAAATTATAAAGAGAGTTCCATTTTATTTCATATATTATTTAATACTTTTTTTTTTATGAAAAAAAAATTCTTGTAACTTTATTTGATAACTTTAAAAGACCGATTCGCTTGTTAGCTAATCCTGATCTTAAAGTTTAACATCTTAAAACGTTGAAGCATAAGGCATAATGTTTATGTAAATAAAAAATTATAAATATTTCAAGCATTTTTTTCAAAAATCAAGAATTTTATAATAATAAATTATTAGCCGGGAGCGAAGCAAAAGACTAGAGCCTATTTCGAAAGATAAAGGTAATTGATTTTTGCCATCAAATTCATCATTTATTTTACAACCTACTATAAAAAAAATTTTTTCATAATTTGTATTACATTATAAAAAAAATAAATTTTATAATTATATAAAGTATTTTAATATGCAATTATTTGATTAAAAAGATTGTAACTACTTATTTTTAATTAAATAAAATTAATAATCAAAATATTGATTTTGATTTTTGATAGAATTATATTATAATTTTAAGTTTTAAAGTTTTAATAATAAGATTTTATTATAATAACTCTATTGAACTTATGAGTTTTACTAGGCAACTATATTTTAAACCACTTTAAAATATTAAAAATAATCGTAATATATTTTTAAGCTAAGACTTATTAATTTAAAATTTAAAGAAAATTTTATTATTAAAATAAAAATTAAATATAATTTGCAATTAATTTTTTAATTTTATATAATAAAATTAATTTGTATAAATTTATATTTTATTTCATATAATTATAAAATTTTAATTATCTTAAATAATATAATGATAATAATAAAAAACTATTAAGAATTGATGTCTCTAACTTAGTTGATAATAATTAAGTCTCTATTATAGATTATATTATAATAACTTTTAATTTAACATAATTAAATATAGATTATAATATTAATTTATTATAATTATATTAATTCAATTTTAAAATGAATTTTTATAAAAAATATGCAAATTATGTAAATATATAAATCATAAATTATATAATATAATAATTTTTGGTAGTTATTTATAATATAAATAATAGTAATTTTAGAATATAAGTTTTATAAGGTTGCTTTGTTATTAGAATTTTCTAATAATAAGTAAAAGTTATAATTAATCTAATTAATTAAGTTTAAAGCTAGTAATTAATAAAAAATTTGCTTATAATAAACAAGTATTATATTATTATAAAAGATTAATTTAAAGATAACATTTAATGTTAAATATAGTAAAGTGATAATTAATAACACATAAAAAATATATATATTTATATATTTTAGTTAATGAATTTTACATTATTTTTAATTATTATAATATTAGACTAAAGATAATGCCTTAATTAGTTGTAACAGATTATAAATAAGTATTATAATATTATAACGTCATTTTTAATTTAGATATTATTTTAAAGTTACTGATTATATTTGATTTTCAGATTATTTAAGGTTATTTAAAAGTAAACAAGCTTAATTTATATCTTATGACTTAAATAAAAATCATATTTGATTTTTTTATTTAATAATATGACTAAATATCTAATAATATTAAAATACTATTTGATTATCTATAAAAATTTTTAAATAAAGTTTTACTTTAATATTTATTAGATTAGTAATTGATTAAATAAAATAGATTTAAAATAAAACTATAGATATCTTAATC